AGTTTAAGAAAAAACCAGCTGATAAGTTTTGAAGCTTGAGTCATGAACAATAAAACTTATCGGTTAAATTTTTTAAATGATATAATTTTTTTTTGTTTTAGTATTTTGAAGTTGACCAATTGTTACTATAATTAATGATTATAAATGATCTGCACCGTAGTTAGTTAACCAGCCCAAACAATTTGCCAGGTATCTTTAGTTTAGCAACCTTAATTGTTTTTTGGAATTTACGTTTAACACTTCATATCCATTATATACACAAAATAAGTAAAAGAGCAATTGCAAAGATAATTCAGATATGATAATGGTAGGGAGGGATTCAAGAAAATTTATTGTCACGATATATAAATAAAATTTTTTTACACGTGATACAATAATAATCGGATTATCTGGATTGGTCATCATCCACGGATCGCATCATTAGGTTTGAAGACATTTTTTCAACGTTTTAATATTAACATGAACGGTTTTATTAAAATTCTCAATTGCCAAGGCTTTTGGAAAATCAATCTATTCGTGAAAATATCTTAGGTTTTTTAGTCAAGAGGGCATTTGTAGAACAGTGCCATGGAGAGAATGAATTTATTTCACATATTTTTTTCGGAAATCGCGATTACAATAAAGAAACAAAGTTGTTGTATTTTAATGATTCATTTACGCTATTGGTATTTTTACAGCCATTAAAGCTTTCCATAATAACGTGTATATTTTCATGCAAATTTGGGGACTATATCTAAGAGGAATAGTGGTTTGAAAACAGTGTTAATATTAATATGTTCTTTATGTAAATCTGCAAGTAGTATGCAGATCACAAAAAAAAATCACAACTAATTTAGATTTGATTTTCTTAGAATGCAAGGGGTTATGAATCAATCATTACAGTCAAAGACTATTTTTATGTAAAAGTGTTATTTATTAAGAAGATTAATTATTGATTAATTATCCTTTTCACTGAAGGAAATTTCAAGCATATTTATGCTTCTTGAAGTATTAAAAATAACATGATTTTTTACATGTAATTAATCAATAATAATAAATAAAAGATACCAATATGCGTAAAGCACTTACAAGCAGTTTGGTGATTTTTCAGGAATATCAGCTGGATTAAATGTTTTAATATATTCTTTGGAGATCTATAGAAGCATTCAGCTAATAGGGAGATGGAAACTACGCAAATATTATGTGATTATTCATTTTTATTTTCTAATTTTAATTACTGGAAAATCACATGGAGCTATAAGAAATAATATATTTACTGTATATGTATATTATTATTAGGTTCACAGTCCATATTTTTATGTTTTATATCAACCACAAATTCCAATGATTTTTGTTACCATTCAAGGTTGGATACTTTATCACTGAATTTACTTTTTATGTAAGTTTCATTTGAGTGTTATATTTAAATTTTTTTTATGTAAATTTAAGTTAAATAATAATTATAATACTGGAGTATTATAAAATAGTACATAAGGCTATTGTGGTTTCTATTTTAATATACACAAGTAAAGGAATTGATGCTACTGCAACTCATAATTAACAAAATCGAACATTAGAATCAGACCAGAACCTGCAATGTCACAAACAGTAATTGTAACAACAATAAATGCCATATTTATATACAATGCAAATTATGTCAACATTCAGATTTGCAAATTTCTTTAAATAATATTGCATCAATACCAATTTATGCATGTATAAGATTATAAGATTGGTTATTTTCGAGGTTGTTATACTGTGCAATCACCATATTGATCTATGATAGAAATCCATATCTGAGCATTAGACAAGCACCATACAATCTCAATAATGTTATTTTTATAGAATATATAATAGCATCTTTTGACATAGTGGTTTTATTGTATTTGGTATATCATTAGAAGTTCTGGGAGCTTATTGGCACATGTTTAGAATTGTGATAAGTAAATGGATAAAAAAAATGCTTGGTCATGATGAAAATTTGGTTATTGGGAAATTCAAAAGGCTAAAAGGAGAAGAAATTCAAAGGTCTAAACTTGAGAAAAAATTAAAACAACACATCAAGAAGTTGTTGTGACAATTACAGTCTAAAAAATTGTAAATATAATTTTTTATTGATAAAAAAATATTTTAAATTATTTTTGTTGGATGATATGAAATATGATGATGATTAATGAATGAGCTGTTAACAAACTACAATAATTAATGATGAATAAATAAATAAGATATCAATTAATAAATGAATGAGATACTCTCTTCTTCTGTATATTCATAATTAATTTACATAATTATACAACAACAAGACCCTTTAGGTACTTCATCTTTCTCTGACACAATAGGTTTTGATCTACCAAAACATAAATATAATTTTCTTCTTTTTTCCTTTCCTTCTTTTTCTGAAAGTGGAAGCGGTAATGGTTGCTCATTGTTTACTTGGTTATGATTGTCACTTGATTCGTCGTGATCCATTGAACCATCAGCTCTTCTTCTTTTTCTATCTGTTGCCATATTTGCAGGAACACTAACTGTTTTCTTTTCATTGGTTTTCAAAAATGTTATAATAGCTGAAAATTTTACTGGAGGTAGATCGTTTTTTGAACATGTATATGACATTGTATAAGCTGTTGGTGCTGGTTTTGCATCATTTGCTACTACTTTTGAGCCTTTTGATTTTGGATTAATGCTTACTGATGCAATAGAATTTGCTTCTGCATTGCAAAACAAAGTGACATCCCATTTATGACCTCCATCAAGGAGTTGTGAATGAGTAGATTTTAAATACATTTTATTTTATTTATTTATTCTTTTCAAAATTCTTAATAAATAAATGTTAATAAAATAATTGATAAAAAGAAAGAAAATAGTTTATATTATGAGGAAAATATGAAAGGAAAGAAAATCGCAATAATAAAAAAAAAAAAACCAAATGAAAAATATTTAAATATGAAAACCATGGCGCAGCCGAATTTTATAATAATAACTTTTTGGGATCATATATATATATGTATTAATATATACTTGTTAAAAATTTTGAAATATCATGTGATCCACATGTTGGATTCCATTCAATTCAACTTTAAAAAGGGAGACAATTCATGTATATATAAAAAATTGTCTCGATTTTTTTTTTATAATTCTCGTGTTACAATATTTTTGAATTATAATACCAAATTTGGTAATGATTTTCTTTTGATATGTTCGTTGAACAAAAAAAGAAAAAAATTTATTATACAGTGCGGATCATCTATATTCAAAAGTTAAAATTTTTGTAATCACCATAGGTAATTAAAAAATAATTGATTTTTAAAGAGAAAAAAAACACAATGAGACTTGTTGTCAGTTTATTGATTATATTAAAGATTTTACTTTAATTGTAGTAAAGAAAGTCGGAATAGCAACCCTTTTTATTAGGAAATCTTTTTTTTTTACAATTTCCCAAAAGACCATTTTTTACAATTTTTACAATTCACACCAAAAGTCTATTTTTTATAATTTAAATTCAAATGATTTGTTAGAATAATGTCAAGTCTTTTTTTACAATTCGCCAAAAGACCTTTTTTACAATTCATGTCAAAAGTCTTTTTTTTACAATTTGCCAAAAGACCATTTTTTACAATTCATGCCAAAAGTCTATTTTTTACAATTTAAATGATTTATTAGGATAATGTCAAGCAAGGCTTCTTTTACATGAACATTTTACAATTCTTTTTACAAAAGTCCATTCTTTACAATTTAAAATGATTTATTAGGATAATGTCAAAAGTCTTTTTTTGCAATTTGCCAAAGGTCGATTTTTTTATACAATTCAAAAAAAGCCTTTTGCAATCCACCAAAAGACCAACTGTTAATATTAAATAATAATTATTATTAAATTTATTTAAGGAAATGAGTTCAAAACCACTTCACCATATTGGGATATTTTAATATTCGTTTTTGCCATTTTCATTTACCTTCCTTCATTCCTATTAGTCAATTTAGTGATTGGCAAAACAAAAACAATTGCCAACTTTAAATATGGACAATGACTAGATAGTATCTCATAGACTGTTTTCATATTAGGAAGTAATACCCTTAAAGAAAATTTTATAATTTATCTATCAAGAGAATTAACCAGTTTTATTTGTTGACTTGAATAAACAAATTCATATTTTTGAGAATTAGATAAAGTTACTCTTTTTGGAGGTATTTTATTTAGAAGCAATAAAAGAATAAAATATTTAATGAGATGAGCGTGAGTGCAAAAATTAGATGGTTGGGTATGCAATAATATATATTATTTTTAATTCATTAATGATAAGATTAATTTATAATAGAAGTTTTATTTTTAAAGTTGTTTAGTTATTAAATTAAATTCTTGATTCATGACTTATTTATAATATTTTCAACTACATAAGCTTCTTTGACTGCATTCTTGTACTTTTGTTTTAATAACCTTTGTATCTATTAAAAAAAAAGAATTCTTTATTTCCCTGTCACTTAATAGAAATGAACAATTCTTTATCTGTCTCTTACAAAATAATCCTGTCATACTAATAAATTTAATTCTTTACCTTTTACTAATAATAAATTTAATTCTTTATATTCTTTATTATTATTTA